AGAGAGAGAGAGACAGAGAAATAGTCACCCTCAAGGGACCAGCAGGTGGCATGGCGGTTAAGGCGCTGGACACTCCCACATGGCCGACCATGGTTTGAGTCCCGGGATCTGGTGGTTTGCATTCTCACGTTCTCTCTCTCTGTCTCTCTCTCTCTGGCCAAATTAAAATAAATGAATGAATAAATTAAAATAAAATAGTCACCCTCAGTAGGGTCCTCACGCTGTGAGCCACCCCAGTCTCAGCCAGCCAGGTCCCAGGCACATACACACTTGTTTACCCAGTGTTCCCAGGATGGCAGTCTATCTCTCTATATCTATCTCTATCTATCATCTATCGTCTATGTATGTATCTATCTATTTTTTTTAAGGTTTTTGCCATAGGGCGAATGTGCTTGCCAGAGAAAGACAAGGAGAGACAGAGAGAGGGAAAGTGAGAAATTACCACCCCCCAGGGAGAATGGCCTTGCCACAGTCCCTGCTCACCATTCTGTGCTTAGGATTTGGGGCATACACGTGCCCAACTGATTTTCAAGTCACTGGGTCTGGGGCTTGAACCAGTCAGTCATGTGGGAATCCAGAGCTTTAATCACCTTGCCATTTGCTGGGCCTTCACCTCTATTTTTACTGAGTGTTGTGACTTCTTAGCCAGGAAAAATACACAAAATTTACATTCCAAAGAGAATTCATGCGTTCAAAGGAGCTTGTATTTTTTTTAGTTTGCTATAGGATGCAAACTTGAAGAGAGACAGAGAGAGAGAGAGAGAGAGACAGAGAGAGAGAGAGAATGAGGAAGAACCCCTACAGGGGATGGCCACCCTGCAACCCCTTCTCTCCATTCTCTCAGGATTTGGGGCATGCACACACATGCATCCTGAGTGTTTCACAAGCCAACGACTCTGTGATTCCAAACATGCAGTTAGCCATGTGGGATCCAGCCACCTGAACCTCTGCGTCACCTACTGGCCCAAGCGAGCTTGTATTTTATTTTATTTTTAGTTTGCTAATAGGCTGTGTACACTCACCAGAGACAGAGACAGAGAGAGAAGGGGAAAATGAGAAATCATCCCTGAAGGCGGATTGCCATGTCTCAATCTCTTCACTTCCAGTCTCCTCTCAGGATTTGAGCATGTACGCACACATGCCCAGTGTGATTCTCAAACCACCAGGTCCAGGATTTGTTTTGTTTTGTTTTCTTTTGTTTTGCTTTGTGTTGTTTTTATTAATAATTATTTATTTTATTTTATTTCTTCATTCGTTCCTTTTTTAATTTCCAAAGAGAGACAGAGGTTGAGAGTGAGAGAGAGAGGAAGCGAGAAAGCAAGCCACCAGATTCAGGACTTGAACCCTGGTCGGCCATGTGGGAGTGTCCAGCACCTTAACTACCACGCCACCTGCTGGTCCCCTGTTTTGCTTTGTTTTAAGAGAGATTTTTTTTTTCCTATAGGGCATGTGTGCTTGCTGGAGAGACAGAGACAGAAAGTGAGAAATCACCTCCTGGGGGCAGGGAATGACCACGCCACAATCCCTTCTCCTCGTTCACCTCTTGGGATTTTGGGCGCACATGCACACATGCACTGCATGAGTTTTATGCCACCAGGTTTGGGACCTGAACCGTGGTTGACTATGTGGGAGTCCAGCAACATAATGACTATGCCATCTGCTGGTGCCTTCAGATCCAGGATTTGAACCACATAGCTGGCCATGTGGGATCCAGTTGTTGTCACCTCCATGCCACCTGATGGCTTGAAGCTTGCATTTGATAGAAAAATGCTTTTGATTTTTTTATCTGAATAAATATAAAGCAAATCAGAGAAATGATCAATTAATTGACCAAATAAATTAACAACAGAAAATTAATAGAAGTCACTAATCTTTCCTATATTTCCATTAAATAATTAAATGAATTAATTATTGGATTTAAGTTTGCCCCTTCGTGTTTCTATTTCATGTATGTATTTTTTTTTTTTGAGGTTTTTGCCATAGAGCGTATGCCACAGGTTTTGCCATGGTTGCCGGAGAGAGACAGAGAGAGGTGGGGTTGGTCACAATCCCTTCTCCATTCTCTGCCCGGGATTTTGGGCACGCACACACATGGGTCTAGGATGATTTTTCAAACCACCAGGTCCAGACTCGAATCACAGCCGGCCAGGTGGGAATCCAGTGCTTTAGCCACTACCTCACCTGCTGGCTCCATGTATGCATTTTTAAAAATGTATTTATTCTTTCATGTGAGAGAAAGGACAAAAAGTCCTGACAGGGACTCACCACACTCATCGTGCAGTCAGCCAGGATCACAGGCTCACCCATGGTTTCTCCCGAAAGGTTCAGATTGACGCAGGACCTGAACCCGGGCCTCCCCATCAGGCTGCAGTACTATACAGCAGTGCCCTCCTGCCCGCGCCACCTCTCGTGTGCACCATATGGTGTGCACGGTTGCCTGGCTACTAATAGCTCTTTCCAACTCCCTTCTCCAGCTGCTTCTTCACACAGCAGAAAATGAAAAAGTCAAACCGGCTGCTGGCACAGGGTTAAGGTGACTGAATCCCACATGGCCAACCACATAGTTCAAGTCTCAAACCAACGACTTGAAAGACACACCAGGCACGTGTGCAAGCGTGCATTCCCAAAATCCCCAGAGGAGAAGGGACTGTGGAGTGGCATCCTCCCTGGGGATGCGTTCTTGCTTCTTTCCCCTCTCTCTCTCTGACAAGTGGATGTGCCCTGTGGCAATTTTTTTCAAGAGAGATTTTTTGCTATAGGGCTCATGCACTCGCTGGAGAGACAGAGAGAGAGAGAGAGAGAGACAGAAAGAGGAAAGCACTCCCCAGGTGGATGGCTACACTACAATCCCTTCTCCACCATTCTCCCCCTGCTACACTGCAATCCCTTCTCCACCATTCTCCCCCCAGGTTCTTGGGCATACACACACACACACCCTGTATGAGTTTTAAGCTGCCAGGTCAGGGGCTTAAACCCTAGTCAACCACATAGGACATAACCATTACACCATCTGCTGGTTCCAAGGCAAATTTAAAAAGAAAGAAGGAAGAAAGAAGGAGATGAGGTCAACAAGTAATGCCGTGGTTACGGAACTGGATCCCATACAGCTCTCAGCAGTTCGAGTCCCAGACCTGATGGCCTGAAAAACACGCTGGGCACGTGTGTGTACCCCAAATCCCAAGAGTATGGAGGAGAAGGGATTCCTGTGTGACCATTTCTCCTGGGGTGGGGAGGTGATTTCTCACTTTCTCTCTCTCTAGCAAGCACATATTCCTATGGCAAAAATTTAAACAACAACAACAAAAACAAGGAACCAAAATTTAATTTTCCCAGAGTCCCCTGCGGTTAAGGGTGACCTTTGCTCAGTGAGAACCAAAGAGAATCTGTTGCAGGGTTTCTGGAAAAGCTTCTTCTCTGTGTGATAAAAACAGAGAACTCACAACAAAGCTCTCTTACCACCTTGGATCTGTGCCGTCTTCCCAACCTTCAGCTCTCACATGAGTGCAAGATTCCGAGAGATATGGAAGCCATCTTGTAACCACGAGACAACAGGCCTGAGATAAAAACATAACATGGTCATGGTGAGTCTTTTCTTATATCCTGGGACCGCTGAATCTACCTAGAGCTACCCTGGGATCTAAGTCCCAAATAAATGTCTTTTTAAAAGTTTATTTACTGGGGCTGGCAGGTGGCATCATGGTTAAGGGCGCTGACTCTCACATAGCCGATTGTAGTTCGAGTCCCGGGCCTGGCAGCTTGTTTTTGCACTCTCTCTCTTTTTCTCTCGCTCTGTCCCTTTCTGGTCAAATTAAAATGAATAAGTAAATAAATTAATTAAAAATATTTTTCTTTATAGCTTACACAGTTTTTTTTTCTTTTAGAATTATTTTATTTATTTATTTAAATTTGATCAGAGAGGGGGAGAGAGAGAGAAAGAAAGTGAGAAAGCAAGCCACCAGGTCTGGGACCAGAACCATGGTTGGCCATGTGGGAGTCCAGCGCCCTCAACCACCACACCACCTGCCAGTCCCAATAAAATAATTCTTAAAAAAAAAGTTTATTTACTGGGGTGACAAGCAGATGGTATAATGGTTATGTTGCTGGACTCCTGCATGGTTGACAGTGGTTCGAGTCCAGGACCCGGTGACTTCAAACTCATACCAGGCATGTGTGCATGTGTGCCCAAAATCCTGAGAAGAGATTGGAGGAGAAGAAGGGACTGCAGTATGGCCATCCCCCTCGGGGGTGATTTCTCACTTTCTTTCTCTCTGTCTTTCCAGGGAACACACACGCCCAATAGCAAAAAATCTCTCTTAAAAAAAAAAAAAAAAGCTTATTTACTGGGACCAGCAGATGGCATAATGGTTATGTCACTGGACTTTCATGTGGTCGACCACAGTTCAAACTCCAGACCCAGCAGCTTCAAACTCACACCAACTGCATGTGCATGCGTATCCAAAACCCTGAGAGGAGAATGAAGGAGAAGGGATTGTGGCATGGCCATTCCCCCTCAGGGGATGATGTCTCGCCTTCTTTCTCTGTCTCTCCAGGGACCACAGGAGCCTTATAGGAAAAAAAAAAAAAAAAAACCTCTCTCTTAAAAAAAAGTTTATTTACTTATTTCTTTCTATGAGTTTATGAGTTGGGACCAGGCAGTGGCATGATGGTTAAGGCAGATGGATCTCACATGGGTGACTGCATGGTTCAAATCCTGGACCCGACATCTTGAAAAACACACCAGGCACATGTGTGTTGGGTATGCCAGCCCAAAATCTTGAAAGGAGGCAGAAACAGAGGAGAAGGGATTGTGGTGTGACCATTCACCGTGGTGGGGGGAAGGTCGATGCAAAGGATACCCTTTTATTTCAGAGTCAGGAGTAGCCCTTTGGGAAGACTGAGGCAGTGGGAAGGGCTTCTCCCTGTCGGGGGCCACTTAGCCTTCCTGTCGCCAGCCCTCTGTGTAGCTGATGGGTTCCTAAGTCGACACATCTTCGAGTGGCAAGTGAGGTCCCTGGTCAGGAGGCTGACCTCGGCTTGCTGCGTCACAGTCCAGCCTTTCTGTCCAGACCTGCACCCTGCCCTGCCCCAAGCCCGGGAATGTTCGGCCTCTGTCCACAGGAGCTCCGCCGGGAGCCCAGCCTCTCTTTCAGGTCCTTCCGCCACCAGCCTCCATCCCAGCTACACTCTAAGCTTCAGGTTGCATCGTTCCCTTTAGCTGCTCTTCTCCATGTTGACCCTGTGCAGGGGTCAATGGGGTAGGAAAGGAGACTTTAAAGTTGCCATCTGCTACATGATTTGAATTTTTTGCAAACAGCTCTAAACATCTGGCTTCCCAAAACTGCAATGGTACCACTTCAGGCAAGTGAGCAGGTCACCAGCAGAGGCCCTCGGTCTCCTCAGGGTCATTGCCACTCCCGCCCTGTCTCTCCTCCCTCCCTCCAATGCTCAGGGAGGCCACGGCTGCCTCCTGAGTAACACATCCATCTGCTCTGCAGCTCTGCAACCTCCCTGCCAGGCCTTCGGGGTGACTGGGTGTCACACCCAGTGACCTCTCCCTCTCCCCTGCACATCCAACTGGCCAGTCTACTGTTCCATTTCTCTGTTCCCTGTCAGAGCAAAATCCCTCAACTCGTTGGCTATCTTGCATCTCCCCCTCCTTCTGTCCCATCTAGTCCCGGACTCTTAGCAGGCCTGCGTCCTGCCACCCCATGAAGCTGCTCTGATCGAAGTTGTCACAACCTCCAGCTTGCCAGTGTGACCAGCTCGGGGTTGTCCCCATCCTACTAGGCTCAGTCCAGCATTCCCTCTCCCCTGCCTCTTTTCCAGTCTGTGGGCTGGCAGGCCCAGGGCTCAGCCCTCCCGCCTCTTCCCCTCCCATCTGCTTCTCCAGGGGATCCCAGCTCTCCCAGCTGTCACTTCCAGCTAGAGGCCGATGAGACGTGTCTCCAGCCTAATCTCCCCCAGCGCCTCCCCCTCTGGACCCACAGACCCACATGTCCAACTGCACACTCAGCATGTCCTCAGCCATGTGTCCTGAAGAAAATTTGTAACCTCTCTCACCTCCCTGGCCCCTCAGAAGTTCATGTCTTCCCACCCGTCGTGCCCCGCCCCCACGTCATTACCAGATCCTGTCAGCCAGATCTTCGAAGTGCACCAGCAGCTTTGCGTCCGCCCAGCACAGCCACCTCTGAAGCTAATCTCCTAGCTGTTGCCTCGCCCACCAAGTGCAGCGGCCTCCTGTGGGTCTCCCTGCTCCCTGCTCACCCCAGTCATCTGTTAACACAGCAGCCAGGGTGATCCTGGCACAGCCCAGGCACCTCGTGCCATTCCTCTGCCCCAGACCTCCACGGCTTCCCAACACACAGAGAGCACGCTGGACCCCACAAGTGGCGCCTGCCTCCAGCCTTCTTATGACGCCTCACATAGGCCACATTCCTTCTAGCCTCGGAACCTCTGTGCTTGCTGTTCCTTCTGGCTGCAATGCCCTTCCTCTCAAATCCACACTCCGTCCTCTGTCCAGTGTCCTGTCTGCAGAGGATTTCCCTGCCCGCCACGCCCAAACAGCTCCCCTCCTTCTACTCCAGTCCCCAACTGCCCCCTCCACCCATCCCCGTTTCACTCTCCTCACCATCAGACTAGATTGCATTATCTACTGTTTGTTTTAAAGAATGATCTAATTTTATTATTTTATTTCATGTACGATAGGGCTCACCAGAGAGAAACTGAATGAGAAAGTGAGAAAGCAAGCTTCCAAGTCAGGGACTCAAACTGTAGTCGGTCATGTGGGAGCCCAGCACCTTAACCACCACGCCACCTGCTAGCCCCTCTACTGATTGGTTTTACTGTCTGCTGCCTGCCTCCACTGGT